CCCCGGGGGGCCAGCTGCTGGCAGCCCGGCCCGGCGTGCGCCCGGTGCTTGCACGGCGGCCTGGGGCCGAGCCCGCGGCTGCCACCCGCCGGCTGCTCCAGGCCTTGCTCGGGCTCTCCTGCCGGACGAGGCTGAAGTTCGGTCCTTATGCCCAGTTCTTGTTCCCGGTTCCTTATTCCAAACTAATCCTTACACACTTAAAGGTTAATAATGAATTACACAGGCTAAAGAGTTGGGATTTCATAAAAAATGTGTATTTACTAATGAATATGTAACATAGTATGTATCATAGTAACATAGTATGTACCCTGAAAACGACCTGAAATTAGGCTGGGATTATGGGGCAAAATCTCTTTCAGGTCACCCGAAACACATGTTTACGCCATAGTTTCTCAACCTGTGGTACATGTACCCCTGGGGGTACGCAAGACACAGGCAGGTGGTACGCAGGGACCCCAACACTCTGTCACCCTCTTTTCCTCTCTCTCTCTTGCCCCTTCTTCCTCAAAACTATGGCAAAAAATGTGGTGCGCCACGCATTTCACGGCACTTTAAATTCCCCAGTAATAATTTGGTTCAGCCCTCCTAGCTTGGCCAGCATCACCTCTATCCCAGGTACATACTTGAGTTGTGCACCCCTGGTGTACAAGGTGGCAACCCTACCCACACCAGCTCAGCCATCTGTCATATCACAGCCTTGCATACATAGTCTTTCTTCCAACATATAGCACACATTAGTCCATAAATATAAAATCTCCTGGAAAATTGAGTGTTGGGATACTTATTAAAATTTTCAAAATTTAGGGGGTACTTGCTACTTAAAAGGTTGAGAAATACATGTCTACACCACTGGGGGACACTTGTGATTGGGCAGCAGCGGGGGGACGGAGATCAGGTGGAAGCACAGATTGGGGTGGGAGGGCAGGTGAATGGGATCCGGTGGGGTATTGTGGATCAGAGGACAGGTGACAGGGTACAGGCCTGGGTGGCAAGTAGAAAAGGACATAAGTGAGGACAAATTTAAGACAACCTTTCGATAATTAGATTTTATACATGGAAAATTATAACATACTATCATTCTATAATTTGCTATAATTTTCCATGTATGGAACCTACCTATTTGGGGTGGTCATCCTGGCAGGCTGGCACTCAAAAACTGAGCATCAGGTCAAGCAGGGACCTGCCCAGGCTTCTTCCAGAGAGTCTCTCGGTGGTGGGAACAAGTGTTTTGGTGTGCTCCACAAAGAATTTTGCCCCATATTCCCAACCCAAAGTCAGCTCCTTATTCACAAGAACATACATAGCACACAAGTCTGGGAGACTGTCATTTGGCAGGCTGGCATGCAAAAACCAAGCTTCGGGTCAGACGGTGCCCTGCCCAGACTTCTTCAAGAGAGTCCCTGGGTGGCAGAGATGTGGTTTGGAGTGATCCAAAAAGGATTTTCACCTGTGAAACCAAGTCATCCCAAATCAGACCCAAATCATCTCATTTGGTGCTATGTGAATAGTACCCAGCCCCAGGGGCCATCGGTTAAGAGGCTTGCACACAAAAACTGAGCTTTAGGTTGGGTAGGGGTCTCCCAGAATCCTTCAAGAAAGTATCCAGGTGGCAGTAATGTGTGTTGTGGGGTGACCTGGGAGGATTTTACCTGATAATCCTGGCCGAAATTCAGTTCCATATTTGGGGCTAGGTATAGAGCACGCAGGCCTGGGGCCTGTCAGTTGTCAGGTTGGCACTTACAAACCAAGTGTTGAGTCAGGCAGGACTTTGCCCAGACTTCTTCAGGAAAGTCCCAAGTTCTGGCAACATGTGCTCTGTGGTGACCCAGAAATTTTTTCCACCTATAATTCCAGCCCAAACCCAACCGGTTATTCAGGCCCAGGGGCCTGTGTGTTGGCAGCATGGCACTCACAAGCCAAGCTTCAGGTTGGGCAGGACTCTCCCCAGGTTTTTTCAGAAGAGTCCCCCAATAGCAGAGATGTGTGCTTTGGGGTGACCGAAAAAGGATTTCCACCCATAATCCAGATCCCAAACCAACTCCTTATTCAGGCCTGGAGGCTTGTAAATTGGCAGCTAGCACCAGTACCTGGCATCACAGAGGTCAAGTGAAATCTTTTTTTTTATTTATAGAGGTTTTGATAATAATAATGAGGTATCTCTTCATCTTATATTGCTATATTCAGGATGATTTCAGGCAGACTCCTAGTTGTCTAGTGTGTAACCATATGACATGTCTATCCTTGATTAATTAGTATGGTAAATATTTTTTTTGCAATTAACCTTGTGTTTATGTGCAGGAAGAGACATTCTACACATGTGATCGATGTCTCCTCCTGATTTAGTATGTTTTTCCTGGCTGTTAATCAGTTTCTTGGTATGTTCTAAACTGGACAACCTCTTGTTACTGAAGAAGGTAACTCATTCAAATTAGAAGTTTCTGACAATCAGTAATGAGCAGATTTTTCCTGTTAATTACTGTTTGGGACTCTCTCTTGATTTACACAACTAAAAGAATGCTCTGGAGATGCAAAACTAAGGGTATAAAAAGGCAGTAAGACAGCAAA